TAAATTGAATAGATCCACCTCATCGATACTCGAACCCGCGACTTTCCCGCTTGTAGCACAGTGCCTCAAGCAACTACGCTACCGCGTGTCCCGTAAAAAAAAATTTAACCTTGACTAAGTTACATCTGAGGCCGCGCCATAGCTCAAGCGGTTAGTCGCTGGCTTTCCACCGCGGCGGCCCGGGTTCGATCCCGCGTCTGGTCAGGTGGGATTTGTGGTGGACAAAGTGGCGCTGGGGCAGGTTTTCTCCGAGTGCTTCGGTTTCCCCTGCCAATCTTAATTCCACCAATTGCTTCACAATCACATTCACCTATCATCTGCGGCTGACAATAGGCCAGAAGTGGCCGCAGTACAAGGGACTTAGTCCCACCCCACTAGCAATAAGAAACATTACATCTGACGTATGCAGTGACGCAGCAGGCCTACAATATAGGAGCTAAAGGAAAGCTCTCCCTGTAACAGGCCGTGGAGGCCCCTAAGGCTGGTAGACGTCGAGGCTCCCACCTTTTCCAGACAATCGGTTCACAGATGGCTGTAAGTTTGTCAGCCTTATACGCCGGCCACCCTTTACCCTCAGGAAGATTCCTGGTACTCATTTCTATTAGAGGCTGTGTCCATCCCTGGACCATAGTTTGGCTGGAAGGATTAGGTCAATCAAAAATTCAATGACATCATCGGGAACGGAACCTGCGACCTTCCGGCTTATAGCATAATACCTCAACCAACTACGCTACCTCGTGCCTCCACAATATAAGAAAAACAGATAATTAATTATTATGTTCATCTCGAGTCTGTGACTGCTAAGTGCCGTTGGATGTTCATTTCTTCTGCAGTCCTCGTAACACCAATTCATTAAGCCATACATATACACTAGCAAAATATTAGGGTTGCAAATCACGGTGAATACCCCATGAATATCCGAAGCCTAGATGCGTAGCAACTGATAAAGTCAAATATTCACCAAGAGCGTGTCAATACCAGGCGGCGCAGGATTTCAACTGCGGAATATCATGAATATTCTAGAAATGAGTATGTTAGTAAACATTGCTTTACTCATACACTGACGGCTTCCATTTCGTGCCTTTGAGTTTTAATGTTTAATATGAAGTAGGATGTTTAGTCGTGAAGACTGTCAATCCAATTAACGTTTGAGAACTAAAAAAATAGAATAAAGAAACAAATTTTTCAAGTTCCATTCCGAATTACCTACGACTTCTAAACGAAAGGTCAAAGAATTTTCTTTGAATGCAATAATAACAGTGAATTTATAATTACAGACAGAGTCTGCGACTTTAATATTTAAATTTAATAATTATTTATCGACATTATTTAAATTTCTGAGGTTGAGAGGGGCAGAAAGATGATAAACGGTGATAGGAGGCGGCCGTGGCCTCTTTCAAGTTATGCTACGCTGTTCGCTATCGAGACGACATCCAGTTAGCTACGCAAGATTCGAACCTAGCATTTCTATAATTCAAATCCAGAATGTTACCACTATACCACCAAGCCTGAACACATTTGTGTTACTTTCCACGTGCCTAGGGCAGAGAAATCATTGAAATTATAGAAAAAAAATCGACTTCATGGTTTTTAATTATAAATTTAACTTATGTAAGTGACTGTAAATTTTTTAGTATACCATTGATCATTTTCTCGTGCTATGACGTACATGCGGGGCAGGTAGGTCTATCCACTTCTTGTGCATTAACACGGCATGTCGTGTTAATCCTGTTTTAATTTATGTGACAACTATCGTCTAATGGCAGCAAGTAGAGTTGTCCTTAAGAACGTACAGAGCAATGCAGATATAGCTAAATGCATTCATAACTTCGGCATTGGATGAGGTGAGTGATCAGCTTCAGGCTCCTGCCGATTTATTCCGGAAAATGGAGCCCCCACCCTCCACAATATTGTAACGTTTCTGAGTCACTATAGAAGGGGCTTGGATTTATAATTGCGTTTATTGATCACTTATATATACAACTCGTGATTAGAAGTAACTATAAGAACCTCACTGGTTTACAAACTCTTGAGATCACTGTAACTTCAACACATATAAAATCTTCTATGTCTTCACTGGTCGTTTCCTAGTAACGGATCCTAACAATGTCCTCTGTTAACGTCCTTACCGGCTGGCGAAAATTACACAACTGACTCTTTCCTCCATCTGACTAACTTCCAGGCTGGTGGCCATCTCACACCAACTTTCTACTCTTCACTGACTGACGGTAGCTTCCAAATTGTCCCTCTTATAACACCTCGGCATACAGAGCCTAGAAAAGTTCAATCGTTTCTGTGGGAATACGCTTGTTTTCGAAGCCGTAGGTCAGCAACGGCTTTTATATATATATATATCTCGCGGTCGTTGTCGAGCAACGGGTCTGCTGATTGGATATGAGACTGGGTGAACGTCGGAGTGTGTCTGGACGTTGTGGAGATGGGAAAACATTTTTTACTTTGGAGGAAATCAAATCCTGATCCCTCAGTCGTCCTGTCCGAAGCCTATCACTATCGCGACTAAATTATCGGGACTGGTACTGAAAACGTTACACAGTAGCGGATGTAAAATTTAAATAATTAGAAACGGGAAGACAGAAGGAAGCAATTATGGCGTGTTATCATTGCTGCTTAGAGCAGTGGTTCCCAACCTGTGTACCGCGAGCTTTTACAAAATGCTCCGTTAGGTGTTGGCGAAATGGAATAAAATAGAACACGCAAACTATGAGATTAGTAATTGCTAACATCACATTATTATCAGTTCTTGGGTGTATTATTGTTAAAGCATAACAATAAACTTGGAAACCGAAATTCGTAAGAACTGTCATAACAGTTACTGTTGGTATTACGATAGGGACCTGTGGAGGGCTCTTGTGAACACGGTAATGAACCTTCGGGTTCCATAAAATGTTGGGAAGTTCTTGAGTGGCTGCACAATTTGCGGGTTCCCAAGACTGGTTCAGCTCCATGAGTGAGTTGATAGTGGTATTATAACAATGATGATGATTCCTGTGCGACTAAAAGACAGAAAAGTTAAAGTTGTCCTTGTGCTTAATTAATAAGCACTATGCCATGAAGACATATGGGGAAGTGGAGGTATGGTCCCAGCATTCTTGACCTCGGCAATAGATGGAGTGAGCGGTCAGCGTCCCCTGGGGAAGACTTCCCGATTCCCATTGTATAGGAGACTGGATGGGCCTCACAGTCGGTATTGACGGTGTAGAGAGAAGAAACTCTTGCACTGTCGGAAATCGAACCTCGGCCATTCAGCCCGTAGCCCGTCGCTATACCGACTGAACTATATCGGCTCCTATTCTATTGCGGCACAGAGGAATAATTAATATCCCAAGTATGAAGCGAGCACTTAAATGTTGAGAACCGCTGGCTTAGAGGTACTGAGGAATACCAGAGGAAATCTTAGTCACGGTATTCAGTTAAAGATTTAAATCCCAAACCTCCACACCAAGTAGTTCTGCAGCTGGTCTTGACCAGCGTCTTCCAACATATGCTTCTCGAGGTTGCCTTGTAGGGGTTGAATATTTAAATGAATTAGAGTGTTCCGATTTTCTTAAACTATCTGAAAATGTTACTTATGCTTCAACCATGAATAAATGCATCTGACCTACATGTTTTCCGATCAAGCAGTATAAGGGAAAAATTCATTATTTTAAAAAGAGCTGGCAATAACAGTCAGAATACAGTATACCGCGAGACACTGAGGTCATCAGGCAGTGAAACAGAACAGCTTAACCAGTAGAGACCACTTCCAGAGGTGGAGAGCAGACCATCGCGTGATAGAACAAAGTCTACGGAGGCATCTTGGTCATGCCAGCATGATGCCGACGAAGACAACGAGCGATATCACGGGGATGGTCTGGCACCTTGCGTCGGTAACTGCTAGCGCCCAAGCGTAATGCTCCGGCCGGACTTTACCGAAACATTGCAATAAGAAACTTCTGAGCTCTAGCGGGAAGGTGGGAATTTCCAACATTCTCATATTCCAAGGTAAGCGCTGTTGAAATCGAATCAAAAGCTAGATGGGATAAAAACGTGACACACCTTTGTTCAGAATAGTACACCCCGCGCTAGAGGAGACTTGGAGGTCCTAAGCGGAGTGATCTCGCTGATAGTTAAGTAGATTTTATCAAGTGTAAATTGAGTTGTAAGGATTCAGAACTTTAGTGGTAGTATTAGCAATAAACTTCCATCCAGTAACTGATAACTTTGACCCGGCGAATATATGAGCTGTGTTGCAATACAGGTAAAGAAAAGTAAATTTGCCCTGTGTTTAATTAGTTAAGCACTATGCCAAGATGACATTACGTAGGAGTGAAGGCATGTCTCCACAGTTCTTGACCCCGGCACTAGGTGGAGATGAGTGATAAGCTTCACGCCTCTGCGGCTTTACACACGGGAAAGAACCACCGGTACCCATTGGCTAGGAGGCTGGATGGGGCCCCAAAGCCGGTCTGGACGCTGTGGAGAAGAGAAAAATCTTGCACTCTCGAAAATCAAACCCCGCCCACCCAGCTCGTAGCCAGTCACTCTACTGACTGAGCTATCCCGGCTCTCTAACATCATAAACATGACTGTAAATTTTGTATGAGCAGTTATTTCATGTTGCTGATGCACAACTTTCAAGATATGCTGTGCAAATTTAGCATAATTTTCATCTCCATTAGTGGGTTTATGCACAAACTTGATCATTAATTTATATAATTATTAATTTCTAAAAACAGATTCCCCATGAATGTTGAACAATAGCATTACAAATACTTTATCTCCAAAATGACAAACAAGGAAACAGGACTGGATCCCCCGTGGGATAATTATTAGAACCCCCGCCGTACTGAAGAGAGTCAGGTTACCAAGATGGCGATAAAGGTGGCAGCAGTTATTAGTAATGACCGCCATAATGGTCGGCAGCGGTGCCAGCCGCCATTACACAGATGGTGGCCTTCTCAAATGTAGGTCGCTACAGAGTGTATCTTTTGTATTTTCAGTTTGTTGGAGTGCAAGTTATTTGCTTCATCCTCGGAGCGGCAGGAGCTGCTGTGTTACTGGATTACAGTACGTATGACTCGCAGATACAGCCCCTCATAAGACAAAGGATGAGGTACCTCATCAGTGAATCCCAAAACGAGTATGCGTCCTCTGTGCTGAGGATGGTTCAAGAAACTGTGAGTACTGGCACAAAGCATGCATACCTTGCAAGGGTGAATTTCACAATGTAATGGGAATATTACATCACACTCTTTAGCTTTCATTGCGTCCTGGGTGGATCGTAGTACACAGTAAGGAGTTATTCCTTCTTTATCTGCTCTTCCATAGGCTATTCTCTCATGTTTACTCTTCCTTTGCTTTATTTAGCATATCTTCGCTCAAAATAACAAAAATAACAAAGAACCCTAGTGCGTGTAACGGTAAACTGTAAAGTGAGCAGATCAGCGATAGCGCTGTATTGCCTGTAGTCCCGAGTTGTGTGAATACGTGTCAATAATCTAAAACCCAGTCTATAATCACCCTTTTTTTTATTGCCAGTGGGGTGGGACTAAGTCCCTTGTACTGCGGCCACTTCTGGCCTATTGTACCAGCCCCAGATGATAGGTGAGGGTGATTGTTGAGCAATTGGTGGAGTGAAGATTGGCAGGGGAAACCGAAGTACTCGGAGAAAACCTGCCACAGCGACACTTTGTCCACCACAAATCCCAC